GAGCCCGATGCGGGACTCGATCCAGGGACTCCAGGATCATGACCTGAGCCGAAGGCAGTCGCTTAACCAACTGAGCCACCCAGGCGCCCCTCATCTGTTTTTTTTTAACCCAGTTCAGGGTCCCGGGTAGATCAGACTTGATGTGACCAAAGTATTACAGAGCTGTCCCTGGTGGATGGTGGGCCGATAGCCACCATGGTGTCCATTAATCACGATACTTTGGTGAACAGCGTGGTAGTATCTTGGCTCACAAAAACTGAGATCTTCTGATCTAAGTCACATAAAAGGACCCCCTTAAAATTCATCCACGTTTGACAGCTTTTAGAGATATTGTTTACTACATGTTCTAATGCAAGATTCATCTAGGAAGGGAGGACAAATGATATGGTGTAATTTATGTAAGTTAAAAATTAAGCGAGCAAGAATCCAAAAACATACCAAGTAAGTACCAGTTTCCCACAGCGTTTTCCCAAAACAGTCCTGCAGTATGCTCTCTGATGCCCTCACATGGGGAAATGTACCGAAGGCTGGCAGTCTGTTTTTGTTCTACATTTGAAGACTTTCAACATTAAAAATAGCCTTACCTCTTCTCTGAATATTTCCTTTACTGTGCTGGGAAGAGAAGGTTATGGCAAGCGTTCTCTTGAGAATTCAGTTAGGGGCGAAACTGGTGTTCTTATAAATACCTTTTTTCTCTGAGTGATTTCCAAAAAAGCCTCCCGAGGCCTGCTGATTGTTTGCTTTACATTTCTCATTCTCGGCCTACGATCAAACAGGCAATAGGGGAACATTCTGGCTTCAAAGACCATGTCAGCTGCAAAGGGGTGGAGTCCTGTGTCAACTCTGTTCGTGGAAAGATCTCTTATTTTAATGTGTGCTGTAAACCTTACTGTTAGGACGCAACAGCCCTGCACATCCACCACTTATCTGTCCCATCAACACCGACAGGAATAATTGCATTCTTTCCCTGGTGAATCAGTTGCTACTTCGGGCGGCCATTGTTTTAGTGGATGGTCTGTGTCCTCTAGAAGCTTGCTGTTCACCTCCAGGCTTTGAAAACCTGAACTGGAGTGGTGCCAGGATTTCCTCTTGGCTCAGAGCTGTTGGTTTTACATGAGTGGTCAACGAAGAATAGCAAACCCCAGTCCCAAATGGTAAAATGGCAGAGAACCACATTCCATACACTAGACTTCTACTTGCTTTGGGGTCTTAGAAGTACAAATTCAGGAGGAAGGTAAAAAAGTAAAACAACAACAATAAAACTTGTGCCGAACTTAGCAGTTTCATCAGTTTGGGGTTATGAGCACTTTGGAGTGAGACTATTAACCAAACTTCTCTGTCATCCCGTTTCCTATCAGCACGGAAGTTCTGGAAGATCTGCAGAAGCTCCTGCCTGGCTTTCCTGGAGTCAACCCTCAGGCTCCATTCCTGCAGGTGGCCCCTAACATGAACTTCATGCACAACCTGTTGCCCATGCAAAATTTGCAACCGACTGGGCAGCTTGAGTACAAGGTACCTGGATGTGGGAGAGGGCTTGCCCCCAGAGAAACACATTTGAGCTTTCTTCGAGAGACTTTGAGGGACCTTGCCCAGGATTTAAGGGTATATCCTTATAGAGAAGGATGATGTCTCTTGCACAGCAGCTTGGGTGAGAGGGAAGATCAGTCTCGACATACTTAAAGGATCCTTTAGTTTCCGTAGCTTAGAGGGCTGCTCTTTTCTCCCTCCTCCTTCCCCGCCTCACCACCCCGTCCTGCCCGCTGTACTTGTGACAGGAGCAGTCCCTCTTACAGCCGCCCACCCTACAGCTGCTGAATGGAATGGGCCCCCTCGGCCGGAGGGCATCCGATGGAGGAGCCAACATCCAGCTACATGCCCAGCAGCTGCTGAAGCGCCCACGGGGACCCTCCCCACTTGTCACCATGACACCAGTGAGTAGCGGCCCAGGGCCCAGCCTACTTTCTCAGAGGCTTTTGATAAAGAAGCTGTGGGCCTAGGGCTGGGAACCCAGATCACCCACCTAAATGTCTGAATTTCCTCTTCCTCTAAGCTTACCAGGCGCAGCGTATTCCCATTTTCTTCAGGCTTGTAGAATTTTCCAGACTTAATTTTTGGCTAACTTCTTTACTTAATCAAACAATTGCCACTCTGAAGTCCGCTCCTGAAGAGGATCATCCTCAGTGGGCCACTTCCCAGCTCTGCTGCTGGGTGCCGCCACAGCCCTGTGGCCCAGAGGTGGGGTCCCCGTGGCCCTCTCACGGTAACTCCTCCCCGCCTGAGGGCAGTGGTGCCTAGCTGTTTTCTCTAGAACGAACTGCTCTTCACAGACCCTTTCTCCTTTGATGAACACTACTTTGCATTTTTGGTACAACCTCGCTCACTCAATTACTTGGCTTTCGTAAGCTCTAACCTAGTCAGTCAGTGTCTCTCAATCCCATCTTTTTTACATACATATATAATGGTCACATTCAGAGATTCTTTTGCTCTGCTGGGTTCTGTTTATTTCCGGTTATTTTCTTGCCATAGGTAAACCAATTCATTCATTCATTCGTTTGTTCCTTCTTCACTGTCACAGGACCATACGGTTGGGTGCTAATCATACCCACAGCCCTTCCTGGGTGTTTTTAGAGCAGCGCTTCTCAACGTACCTCTGGTGGAGGACCTTTATCCCCCTTCACTCCATCGTGGGATTAATACTTTTGTAAAATACAACAAAAGTGAATTATTAGAGAGAGAAAAATTTTAAAACATACAAAATACAAGGCTAAATTTTCAGCAGACAAAATTACCCCGTTAAATTGCTATAAAAGTTTCTAAAAGCTTACTCTTTATTTCTCTACTAACCTTATCATGGATTTGGTAACAGAACAGTTTGCGGACTGATACGGGTCCACCATGGGCCCCGCTTTCAGTAACAGGCCTGTCGGGAAAAGGAAAGGATCGTATTCATAGTTCTTGGCCTCACTGAGCTTATCATATTGGGAAGACAGGATCAACATATGTGCGGTGTTGGAATAATAGTAAAGGACCACGTGTGAGTAAGCAAGCGCCATAGTGTGTACCGTGGCCTAGGTGGTGGCAAGAGGCGTTCAGGGAAGGACCAGATCGATGCAGGTTATGAAGGATCAGGAACAGCTTTGTGGGAGGTGGAGTGACCTCCTCTGTCCACTGTGACCGTTTTCGCCAAGGTCACTAACAAGCTTTTGTTGATAAATCCAGTGGACGTTTTTGATCTTTTGGGCCTTCCAACTGTATCAGTCACTGTTGACCATTTTTTTTCTCTTTGAAATACTGTCTTCTTTTGGCTTCTGTGACACCATATTCTCATTTTCTTCCCGCCTCTCCTTTTAAGGTTCCATTTCTGCTTGTTTTTTGAAGTTGGTGAAACCCCAGTTTTATCTTAGGCCCTGTTTCCATCTCATTTTACATACGCTCTCTGGCTGATCCTTGTCTGCTCCCATAATTTCTGTTACCAAATGATTCTCCAGCCCAGATCCCTCTTTTCTTTTGAGTTCTCCACTTCGTATAGATGACCGCCTACCGCATAGATTTAGTTGGTTATCCTACTAGTACTTGACATGTCCTCAAGTTTGAATTTGACATATCCTCAAATGACTGAAGGTAACCTATTTCTCCTCCTGGGTGACAGTGATGGGCATGTCGTCCTCCTGGTCACACAAGCTAGGAATGTGGGATTTCTCTTTAACTCTTCCCTCCCCCTCATCCCCATATCAAGTCAGTTATCCAGCACCTTCCTTCTGTCCCCTCCCCCTGCTCCTTCCTTTCATCACTGTCATCCTTTGCCAAGACTAACACAGGGGCCTCCTCACTAGCCTCCTTACCTCCAGTCTTTTCTCCTCATCCCCGCCACCAGCCCTTTCTACACTGCAACTCAAGCAAGCTAGCTTTCTAGAGTATAAATCTTGTAACGTACTATCCCTGCCGAAAAATCCTTGTGATTCACCGCTGTTCTTCCTCAAAATATACTACTTAATGTGGCATTCAGAGCCATCTGTAACTGGCCACTCTGTCCCTCTCCTGCCTCATCTGTCGCCACGTCCTGCCTAACCCTGCTCACTCCAGTCTCGTGGAACTGTAGTAAGGGATCCAGACAGCCTAGCATTTAAACAGTGGGATTATTCCCAAAGTTTTCGTTTTATAATGATCTTCCATTTTTAAAAAAGCTCTTTCATAATAATCAAAGTATGACAGTTTTTGCTCTAGTCCCTGAGGCATGGTGATTATGTGAGCCACCAGGCTGTGAGGAGCTATGAAGGATGCACAGCCTTCGAAAGTGCTCATGTAGATGAGGAGAGTCACGATAATGCATGCATTGTGGTGGTTCTCGTTTCACATATGTGTTTTGGTGGGTAATAGCTATTTTAAAGCATTGAATTGCAACTACACGATTATATGTTATGTACCAAAATGTACTTTTAAAAAACCATGATGCTTTTTTGGCACAAGCGACATCTAAACGCTGGTGATAACATTAATATGAAACAACAGGCCAGTTCCTAGAAGTTCCAGGTAAACAAGCTTCTGCTATATTTTCAGGTCCCCAGACACCAGCAGGCCTTCTCTTTTCTGTCAGCCTAGAAACCCCAGAGGCTTGTAAGCCTTCTCCTCTATGCGTGGCCAGCTCCTGTTTACCCTTCAGGTTTCAGGTGAAGTGTCCCATCCTCCAGGATGCTTTCCTCGATTCTCAAGGGCCCCAGTAGAGGATCAGGTCATGCCATTCTGTAATTGCCTGCTTCCTTGGCTCTGTCCTCCACTAGACTGTAAAATGAGGGCAAGACCTATGTTAATTCCTATATCATCCTGGAACATGGTAGGCACTCAGCTCTTTGTTGGATGAGTGAACAAAGATGAATCAGAGGAAGAAATGCAAATTAAAATCACCTGAGCGAGGTAAAAGTGGAAAGCTAGAAAGGCATATGAAAGTTCCGTATAACCCAGGGGCCCTAGAAAAGTTTTGTAAATAAAATGAACCGAAAGGCCTGTCCCCATCCCCGTTTCTGGAACAGGCGGTATTCCGGAAGAAGCACCACCTTGAGCTTTTCCTTCCTGTCTCCCTGCAGGCAGTGCCGGCGGTTACCCCTGTGGACGAGGAGAGCTCGGATGGGGAGCCAGATCAGGAAGCTGTGCAGAGGTAATGTGACATCTGGCGGTGCTTGCAGAACGTCCTTGGGCAGGCTCCCCTGCAACCAACGAAAGGTCACCTCTGCCCAAGGAGGTGGCACAGTGCAGCTTCAACATTTGTGTGGTCTCTTTGCTCAAGCCAGATGGCGTGTTCCCACATGGAAGTAACAGAAGACTACCCAGAAAATGTCATTTCTGTAAGCGCCATTGGAAGTCCCCTAAGTGACAGCAATAACCATAAGAACTTTTTCTCTCCTCCCTCCTTCCTTACTTGCCCCCCTGCCTTCATATTGCAACTCTGATAGTATTCACAAGGCGCAAAGCCTGCTCCTACCTGCCAAGAACTGTTTACTGAAAAGGAATTGGAGATTTGGGATGACAGTGATCCTAGCTAGTCTGGCCATGGACCTCTGGCATGGACTCTTCCTTTCCAGGAGAATGAATACCTCTTGTACTGTGTGCTGTATGCTTCTTCCATCCCCTTGTACCAACAAAGAGATAATGAAAAAAAGAATATGGGATTCGGGCCAGGGACAGATGCAAATATCTATTGTTGGCAGAACCTTGTTGAGAGATGCCTAATTCACAGAAAACGGCAGTGACCATCAGGCATGCTGTGCTGTTCGTTTTACCTCAGTCCCATTAGCCGTGGTCCGCAGCTCCATGCATGCCCCCTTGTGGGAGTCGTCTTTCTTATTTTCCGGGGAGGGGGGGTTTGACCAGAATCCAGCATGTATTTTCCCAGAAATACAGGTGTTCTTCAAAATTATATGTTTTTCCCTTGAGGGAAGTTGAAATAAAATGGTTTTCACGGGCTCCTGGGGAAACTTTGGGTGTCTTTATCAAATGGGTATTCAACCACTCATGGCTCACCCTTTGGCAAGTTTACGTACCACTAATTGCTGTATAGTCCGTTAACTGGTTTTAGCCGAAAGAGGCAAAGTGGTTAAGAACGAAGCAGGAGCACTTTTTCAGAACCTGACAGTGGCTGGCCAGTACTCTCTTCTTTACCCACCGTAGCTCTGTCTGGGGGCTACTATTCAAAAAGAAGCTGGCCCCGTTTGGAAAGAAGAGTGGAGAACAAGGTGGTGGCCGGTGGGCCAGCTCCTCCTACAGTTTAGCCAATAGAAGAAAAATCATCGTAACCTTTTTTTTTTCCCCTCTTGATGCTATTGTCTCTATAGTTTGCTGATAATAGGGTATATGATGTTGCAAATGGGCCCCTGCTGGTGCCATGAAAAAAAAATTAGGAAACTTACTGCCTTTGTCCCTTCATTATACAGTAGCGTTTCACTTTATCTTCTTTGTCTTGGACTTCCCTTCCTCCAGCTCCACCTTCTTTCTTCTTTAGACCAACATTTAAAGGGTAAAGTGCCCATCAGTCCTGACGTCATGGAGAGAGAGGGATGATGCTTCTTTTATGCATGCCCGAGAAGAGCACAGTGACCGAGGAAGCCATCAGCTAGATGGAGGGGGACCCATGGCTTATTTTTGGTATTAACTAAGTAGTGGATCCGATAGATCTTTAGAACGAAAGTCATCAGCTTGTCAACTCCTTAGCTTTGAAACTTCTGTTTTCTTGCCTTGCCTTCCCCCCGCTCCGCCCCGCCAAAAAAAAAAAAACAATTCTGAATATTTCATGCAGTTTCGTTTCTTCATCCTCTAGAGAATGTGGTTCCCTTGGGACAACATCAGTTTTTCTTCTCTGATGATTGACTTACAATCATGGGGCATGAGAGGAGGGGTAGTTTTGGAAATCACTCATCCTCAAAGGGAAGCATCTGTTTGCTGTGACTTGTAAATGAGGACAATCTCAAGACCTGAGGGGGCCGTTGGGATCTAGAGACGTACTTGGAGTCCTTCTGAATATCTGTCTCTCTTGGCTCATCTCTAGGAATAATACTTAGGGCTCATTTCCTCTGACTTGTATTTTGGAAATTTGGAGGGACAAGAAGAATAACAAGTGGAAAATAAATCCTTCTATCGAATGGAACGAAGGAAGGAAAATCGGTCTTCTTTGTGAGCTACATCTGTTTTCTCTCTTCTCTTAGTGTCTACTCTTAGGTTCGAAATTCAGCCACTTGAGTGGTAAGCCAGCTTTTCTTGGCCAGCTGACCATATTTCACTTTCATCCAGCCAGGGGTCTGTTTGCCATGGAGCCCTTTTTGCTCTGGCACTATTTCATTCTGAGTGCTTTGGATTAACTTCTAATGCTTCTTGCAGAGGAATATTCCTGTCTGTCTTTTTTACTATGAAATGTGCTCCTGCTTGTTGCAGGTACTTGGCAAATAGGTCCAAAAGACATACACTGGCCATGACCAACCCTACAGCTGAGATCCCACCGGACCTACAACGGCAGCTAGGACAGCAACCTTTCCGTTCCCGGGTCTGGCCCCCTCACCTGGTACCTGATCAGCATCGGTGAGTAGCCACATGAGCTATGTGAGCTCCTTGAGGCTCATCGGGCAGGCACCCTTCTTGCTAATCTTACAGTGATGGTGACGAGCATCGAGGCTTTAAGTAGCATCCTGAGCTTACATCTTCTCAGCTCCTTGCACTAAGCAGTGCACAGGGCCGTGTGAGATTCTTCTTTCCCATTACCTCGTAGACATGTTTACGGTCTGCAGTTCATTCTCGTGATTCTAGGTGTTGACTCATAGATGAAATTGAACTTGAAACCTGCGAGGAAGTGAAGTTCTCAGAGGACAGCTGGACATGGGAGAATCTGTAGCCTTATCGGTAGACTTGACCGTTCATAACCCATCACCTTCAAAAGAATGAGCATGTCTTACCATGTTACCACTGAACAGTGAGCTTGGACATGGAGGAAGGTACATCCCTTTGTGAATGGTAGAGCAGAGGTACTGCATTCTCTTGAGTGTTGTGCTCAAGAAGTCATTCTTGCATATTCTGATGGCTGAAATCTTTTACTAGGTCTCTCTTACATTTGTAATTCATCCTCTTGAAGAAATAACAAGCTTAACCTTCTTCCTGGCCAAGAAAACTTCTTAAAACCGAATATCCAAGTAAGCCTGGAAGCACAGGGGCGTGACACTTGGCTAGATTAAGAAGGTGATTGCCTTCTGTGAATACTTCGATGACTAAAACCCTTGGCTGTGTCCCCTCTAAAGCTGTCCCTAAGCTCGTGGGCCACACTTTCCAGGCCACCACCAACTGCTGAGCTTATTTTATTTCAGTCTTGCTGGGAGGACAATGAAAGCAGTCTTACTTGAGAAAGTTGAAAAGCAGTCAGGTTCTAAGGAAATGAAATTTATAAATGTGTTGTTATGAAATCTCATAACCAGCTCACACTGGCAAGCTTGACACAATGTTTTTATTGTGGTGAGTTACCCATCGGGCGTCCTTATAATCAGCAGAGACCGTGGACTCTGCGCAGACGGAGTCTGAATTAGCGCCCTGTTGGCACTCTTGGAAGAAGGGAGATAAGCTATCAGAGACGACTGTGAATAACAGTCAGAATGGTCTGGTCGGAGTAGCAGGAATGACGGCTCTCCAACAAAAACTCCGGCACAGAAGGACAGTATTTTCCTAAGGAAAATCTCTCCAGACCTACACTGTGAGGGCACTGCAAGAGAAGGGACTTGGGGTGATGGTTGGAGAGGTGCCCTCCCACAACCTCCCCCCCCAAGTCCCCCCCCCCCCCCCCGGCTTAAATTTTCCATGATTTCTCAACAACGCTGAGCTCACCACTGTTAGCCAATAGAACCTTTATTTCTTTTTTCTCCCTGTCTCTGTCTTCCCTGCCTCCACAGCCTGACAGTTGTTGAGACTTTGTCAGGGTCTGTTGTCCAGCCGAAGTCCCTCGGGTATGCTTGTTTCATCATCCGTGTTCCTCAGGAGACCCTCCTGTCGGGGGAAACGTGGAGATCGGCGCCTCTCCACAGCCTCTCTCATGGGTCTTCTACCCTGTGTCCGTGTGTCTAGTGAGGAAGGCTACGTCGGCCACAGCTCCCTGTGTGTGTGGTTGCCGCCCCGCCTACAGTCACCGTCCAGACCTTGCCTGCTGGAAATGTGTCCACCGTCTGTGTTCGTGTGAACACTCGTGGTGGAGTGTTTCAAGGGTTTCCTGTGGCCAAGCCAGTTTGAACTGGAATGAATACTTGATGAGTGGCAGACTGTGCAAGGTGGGGCGTTTATGCAAACTCAGCCATTCTTGGTGGGATTCCTGTAAAAACACGGCAGCACGAGAGACTGAAGGTAGTCTGCAGAGGACAAGAGCGCCTTTGCAGGGCCAGAAAACACTGGAAATGGGTGGCCTAGACAGATTATTGAGTTCCTCTCACTTTCCAGAGGAAATGATTCAAGAATAGCATATATACATCTATTTTTCTGGGGTGTAATTCATGAAATCCAACACGGAGACGGAAGAGGGCTCTGATCAACCGTTTCGATCCTGGAAATGTGTAATTTTAAAAGCTAAAAAAAAAAAAAAAAAGCGTGATTTTAAAAAGTGAACACAGGATGGATTTTATCTAGGTGGGGAACCAAGTTCCTATTTGAAAAGTGTAGTGGGAACGTCAGCCTGATATGGGGCTGTCCTGAGTTTGAACATGATTGCAAATAAGAATAAAACACAATGGATCCTGTGAGTGCTTCTGAAATGAGCAACTCCATCAGAACTCTTTCTCTGAAGTTCCTGTGCCCGACTGACCAGGGTCAGTCTCTGCACAACCCGAGCTTCTGGAAAAGTCACAAAATACCCGGGCCTGGGAGAGCGGCTCTGAGGGGGGAGGGTGGGTTTTGTGCAGACAGGCTGAATGAACCCCTTGCAGAACACAGCTTTCTGAGTGAATCAGAAATGGGTCCATTATCAGAAAATATCGAAAGCATAAGGGTCGAATGTTAGGAGAAAATAGTATCTGCTGTCTTTGACTCCAGACCCCTTAAGTAGAAACATAGGAAGTACGGAGGAAGTGCTCCCTAGGGCGGCTTTCGTGATCCCCATTTCTGGAGAGTGTCTGCCAAAACCATGCGTCTTCTGTGTTACGCATGTGTGTTTGTGCTCATTTCATCAGCGCACCACTGTGTCGAGCTTCCGGTAGAGCCTGAAACCGAAGTCATCATTAGCAAAGTGAGGGTAAAGGGCTTGCCCCCACGGCCACAACCCTGGACCACTCCGCACAGTCATCAGCACCCCCCCGCCTCCCCCAACCCTCCCCGTCTGCATTGTATTTGAACTCGCTTGTCCACCTGCTTCCTTAGCCTTGCTCTGCTTCAGTCCAGAGTGAGTAGCTGGCAAGGGGGTACATCATTTCACCCATAGTTCAGTGTGATACCATCTGCCCTGGACATGAAACCCTGGTCCTTCCCATCAGCTGCTGGAATGCTGCCTTGGCAGTCATTTATCTGCTTACCTCAACCCATAAGCATCTCTTTCTGATTAGGTAACGGGTCGAGGTGTTAGCGTCTAACTCTCATGCTGTCTTCGGCATTCCTTATCGACAGCTTTTTCTTTCTTTCTGTAAGATCCCGGCTCTGTTCTGACTGAGCAGTGGGATTTTTGTCCACACGATTCCTCTTTCGCTAGGAGGTTGTGGGGGAGGCGTGCTGCTCTGGGAAGTTAATTTTCACAGTGGCCAACTGTATTTGCGTCGACCAGGTACACACGCAGGATCTTGAGGCCCGCATTCCTTGAGAGTGTGCTTGCTGTCTCCATCTGGGGCTCAAAAGTGCCCCCATCCTCCCGCTTGAACCTCCACCCTCCACTTTCTAGCCCAGAACCTTTGACTTCCGAGCCAGGCCTTTGCCACAAAGCTGACCATAGTTTCCTTCTGGTCATTCGGAGAGTGCTGCTCAGGGAAAACTGGGTCAAACAGTGGATTTGAGGTTTCGAGAGGCACTAGACAGACGTGATTATAAAAGCCAGATCTCCTATGCAGCTTGGCCTGAGGGCCACTGAGAAGCTCCTGTCTCTGACCTAGTATATTTGTAAGAACTTGGATGTATTTGATCCCAGGACCTCACCAGGCTTGGAAAGTAAGCCAGCTAAAGGTAAGTGGAGGCGGAAGCTGTGCAGCTGGAGTTCTCGGAAGGGCAGCAGGCTAGGGCCGCGGCCGGCCTCTGGAGACGGCCTGGAGATGGCGTAATGCGCAGGGCTGCTTGAGCAGCCAGCCACCTTTGCGTTCTGGAACAGCCGTCCCTGGGTGATTTGGTCCGAGCCGCTGAGTCCTCGCCCCTAACCTTCTCTTCCCATGTATTCAGCTCCACCTACAAGGACTCCAGCAGCCTGCACCTCCCCACGGAGCGTTTCTCCCCCGTGCGCCGGTTCTCAGACGGGGCCGCAAGCGTCCAGGCCTTCAAAGCTCACCTGGAGAAGCTGGCAAGCAGCAGTAGCATCAGACAGCTGCAGCAGGTAACGGCGGGGGCGGCAGCCCCTCCGGAGAAGCGCGGGCACGCCGAACAGTAGCGCGTGCAGGAGCGGGCGGGCAAATCGCCGCCCCGTCCCCGTCAAGGTTCAGATCCGTGTAGCTTCCTAACGCTCCTTCCCTACTCCTTGGTACGTACGGCTTTCCCCAGGCTCAAACAGCCCCCACGTCCCCCCCCTCCCCCCGCCCCCGAAGGGCCTGGATTTTCCTCCCGTCTCTGTAATTTTCAGAGAGGGATTCCTGGGCATGGGTTTCGGTGGGAAGCCCCAGGGAAGGTGCTTCTAAGCAGCCTTGGCATTCCTCTCATGAGTCATGGGCGCTGGGTCTTGCTGGAGCCTGCTCGGCGTTGTTGCCACCTGGCATGGTCTGCAGTGGGTATGGGATGAGGCTCCCAGAGGAAGGAAGGGTACCTCCAGGCTTCCGTTAAGGGCCAGTTTCCTTTCTGCCTTCCCGATGACCAGGCTTCAAGCGACAGGTGCTCTGCACACAGATTTCACACCGGACACTTCCACTGGCCCACGGGCCACCCCTGGTGTCTTCCATTCGTTCACCCGGCACGGAATGTGAACGTATTTAGGACACGAATACCTCTATACAGCTGGGTCGGTTGTTCATTAAGGACACTGCTCTTCTCTTGGGGCTCTTCCTGCCCCTGAGACCTTGGGGCAGATCTGCATCTGCTGACGTCCCTGCGTGGGGTGGGCCCGGCTGCGCCCCATCTGTATTCCCTGCTTTCCCTTCAGGAGTGCGAGCAGCTGCAGAAGATGTATGGGGGGCACATTGATGAGCGAGCCCTGGAGAAGACCCAGCAGCAGCATATGCTCTACCAGCAGGAGCAGCACCACCACATTCTCCAGCAGCAGATTCAAGTAGGCCTTCACTCTTTGCTCGCTCCAGCTTGTTTGGAGTTTGCTCTCAGGCTGAGTTGCCTGTGAATTCTGGAGGAGATCACGCAGGGCAGAATGGAGTTATGTTTATGGTTGACTTGTTTGAGTAAAGGTAATCAAACTTTTGGACGAACCACAAAAGCGTAAACTTCAGTCACAGATAGTTCTTTCTGTTTCTTCCCTTCCCGAGAATAGCTCTGATTGATCCTCAAGCTGACAATTATTTTTCTCCTTTCCCCCATATGTTTAGGATTCTATCTGTCCTCCTCAGCCTTCTCCACCTCTTCAGGCTGCATGTGAAAATCAGCCAGCCCTTCTTACCCACCAGCTCCAGAGGTAATGAATCACTGGTCTCACGCCTCAGCCGTTGTCTCTCTAATTGCTGTCCTTGGCCTGCCTCTTATGGGAGGGATTGACTGACTTCAGCATTCATCTTGGAAGAACCTCTGTGAAAAGCAGAGAGATCAGTTTAAATGTTAGCTGCCTCCCTGAAATCCTAACTGTATTCAGTCCCACGCTATTTCCTTTTCTTAGCCCCACAGACAAAGTAATCTGACAGGCATACCGGCCAAGACCCAGGCCCACATGCCCTCTGCCTCTCTTTGTCTGGGAAGTCTGGTAAACTAAGATGTGGATAGGTCTGCGTACACTGTGGTGGGGGATGTACATATGTCTTTCTAGCCTGGAGCCTTATCAAAACTTAAAGAAGAAATCGTTTCTTACACGTTATGTGTAGCGTATGGCTGAGAGTAAGGTCAAGGTTATCCTGTCACCTCAGGAAATTTACTTATTTATCTGGTTTTGTTGTTTTTTAAGGTTAAGGATTCAGCCTTCAAGCCCACCCCCCAACCACCCCAGCAACCATCTCTTCAGACCACCCAGTAATAGTCCTCCCCCCATGAGCAGTGCCATGATCCAGTCTCACGGTGAGTGTGGAGGTTTAGACTGAACCATGATAAGCCACATGGAGAAAGTGAGTCCTAGTCTTGAGTGTTGCAGGTGTGCAATAGTATTTAAGGGTATAGGCTATCGAGCCCGGCAGCCTTGGTTTGAATCTTGGTCCCACCAACACCTTAGCTGTGCCACCGCAGGTAAGTTACTTAACTTCTGCGTGCCTTAGCCTCTTCAAATGTAAAAGAGGGATAATAAGAGTATTTAATGAATAAACACATGAAAAACACTTAGATGATAGTTCTCAATAAAGGGTAACTATTACAATCATTTTCAATAAAACCCCCGCCGACCCTACCAAATAAAAAAAGCTGCTACCAGAACCTCCCTTACCGTCATGCCTCTAGTTGGTTCTCCATCATGTGGGGTCCTCTCTTGTGGGTGTTTGGGAGGAGGTTGAGATGAGTATACCCGAATTGGTATGGGTCTTTAGAGACCAGTGAGTTGAGGATTTAGTATTCCCCAAACTGGTAATCTCTTAAGTAACGCCACACAATCTAGAGCCCCTGAAGAGTCTGCATTGGCCTCTAGGCCCTTCCTCCTCCATGTGGGGTTCCCTGACTAACGGTATCAGCAGGAAAAGTAGAGTCTCGGGTCCCACCCCAGACATGCTGAATCACAGTCTGCATTTCAGCAAGATCCCTGGGCCATTCGTATGTCCGTTTGAGTTTGCTAAGCTCTGCCCTAGATCAGAGCTACTCAAAGAATACCCCAGGACCACCTTTCAGAGCCACTTACTGAAAATACAAATTCTTGGGGCCCCACCTGGGCCCCACCCAGAATCCTGCGGGTAGGACCCAGAAATCTGTGTTTTAACAAGTTCTCCACACGCTGCCGTTTGCGAAGCGCTGATCTAGACGGTGTCCAGTGTGAGTGTCCTCGCCATTTCCTCCTGCTTCCAGCCGGCAGGTGACCCGGGCATCGGGTCACGCTGGGTTTCCTCTCTCTCCAGGCGCCGCCTCGCCCTCCCAGTTTCCAGGCTTACCGTCCCGAGGCGCAGTCTTCCAGCAGCAGCCCGAGAACTGCTCCCCTCCTCCCAGCGTGGCCCTAACCTGCCTGGGCCTCCAGCAGCCTCCGCAGTCACAGCAGGTGACCATCCAAGTACAGGAGCCCGTTGACATGCTCAGCAGTATGCCAGGGACAGCTGCAGGCTCTGCCGGGCGAGGCCTCTCCATCAGCCCCAGTGCCAGTCAGATTCAGATGCAGCACCGTACCAGCCTGATGGCCACCTTCAGCTACGGGCACCGCCCCTTGTCCAAGCAGCTGAGTGCCGACAGCGCAGAGGCCCACAGGTAAGGCTGTGGGCAGGCACCGGCCGTCTGTCCAGGTGATCCGGGAGGGAGGAAGCCCCTTAGCAGGGCGAGAGAGGAGAAGGGGAGGAGAGTGAGTCTGGCTGGGCTGTGCTCGTCTCACCCTTTCCAAAATCAGGGGGGTGGGTGTGGGATGAACTTGAACCCTGTTTATTGAGCCAGGATCAAAGTGCTAATAATGAGACAGAGAAGGAAAATGACAGAGCTACCTTCCTATTTGTCTCCAAAGAAGAAAATGGCCTATTAGAGGAATTTCTAAAAATGCCAGACCCCTTGTCTATTTTTTTAGGATTCTTTCCCTCTGTCACTTTTATTCTAAGAGCTTGGTGCTTCTTAGTAGCTCAGAGATGCTGTAAAATAGGCCAAGTCCCTCTCTTGAAGCTGGAGCTGGAGCTGTCCCCCCACACGGTGCCCCGTGACCCCTGGAGGTGACCGGAGAAGCGAATGCGAGGACGAGTCGGGATGCTGCGTGCATCCCCATCTTCCCTGTCACACCGCACTTCCCTGTCCCGGGGAGGGGGGGCTCCCTACTGAGGAAGAGGAGTAGCTGTTCCCCAGGGGACTCTAGCGCACTTGTCACGCGGATGCCTGGTACTCACTCCCTTTTGTGTCTGCAGCTCGAACGGGAATCGGTTCTCCCCTGCTAACTACGACCAGGCGCACTTACACCCCCATCTGTTTTCGGACCCGTCCCGGGGTTCCCCCAGCAGCTACAGCCCTTCAACAGGAGTGGGGTTCCCTCCAACCCAAGCCCTGAAAGTCCCTCCACTTGACCAATTCCCCACCTTCCCTCCCAGCGCCCATCAGCAGCCAGCGCACTATGCGGCGTCGGCCCTGCAGCAGGCCCTGCTGTCCCCCACGCCGCCAGACTATACGAGACACCAGCAGGTGCCGCACATCCTCCAGGGACTGCTCTCCCCCCGGCACTCGCTCAGCGGCCACTCGGACATCCGGCTGCCCCCGGCGGAGTTCGCGCAGCTCGTGAAGAGGCAGCGTCAGCAGCAGGACTACCACGACCTGTTCCGGCACATGAACCAGGGGGACGCGGGGAGCCTGGCTCCCGGTCTCGGGGGACAGACCTTGACAGAGCGCCAGGCTTTACCGTATCAGAATGCTGACTCGTATCACCACCACCACACCAGCCCCCAGCATCTCCTACAGATCAGGGCCCAGGAATGCCTGTCGCAGGCCGCGCCCCCCAGCCCCGCGCACGGGTACGCCCAGCAGCCGGCCCTCCTGCGCTCGGAGAGCATGGAAGAGGAGTGCTCCTGTGAGGCAGCCAAGGACAGCTTCCCGGACAGGAAGAGCTCAAACACAGTGGCCAAAGGTTGCCGTGACAGCCCCCTGCTCTTGAGTACTGGTGGACCCGGGGACCCCGAGTCTTTACTGGGAACTGTGAGCCACACACAGGAGTTGGGGATGCATCCCTACCGACATCAGTCAACTGCTGCATTCAGTAGAAATAAGGTGTCCAGCCAAGGTAAGAGCCCCTTCGGGGTAAGCGTCCCGGGCCAGTCTGCCCGAATTCACGTAACTCAGGGATGGTGTCTTTTTCCAGTCAGGGCTCTGTGTTCCTAAGAGAAAAAGAATTCCTGAGAAGACCTGCAGGACCTTATGGGGGAGAAGGATGTGGGGAACGGGTACTGGTCCTTAAGGGGACTGCTTTCAAAATAAAAAGATAGCGATAGGAAATTAGCGCTTACATAATCCAGTCAGTAAAGATAGTTCCCATTTCTCCTATTCGTACCATGGTTCCTTGGAAACCAGAATTTCCTGTCATCAAAATAGCCCACTTTAACTTCTGCAGTAGAACAAAATCAGCCAGTGCTAAGGAAATACGGCTTTGTGTAAATGGTGTTGGACCAAGGGTCAAAAACGCCCCTCGATTCCAGACTCGCCTCTATCACGAATGCTGTAACCTTGTCACTTAAACCCCAGGTTCTTAAGTTCTCCTCTGTGAAAAATGGGCAGGAGGAATAATGATGCTTTGCAGAGTACTTGGGAAGATAAAAACATGCACGTATGTGCCGTGTTTCACATAATGCGTGCGCGCACGCACATGTGAGGCTGAGAGAAGCACACGCTACTCAGCAAGGATGATGGAAATGTGAGGCATTATTATTACTCTGCTCCTCTCATTAACAAGCTAAGTACAGAATATCCCAGCGTCATAAGGGACCCCCGGTGTTTTCCTGCATCACTTTGTATAATGCATGAGTACGTTCATTTCCATCCTGAAGGAGATTAGGATTACCAGCAGTCAGTTATACTCCGAAAATCTTCTTCCATCGTCATCCTAGCATTCATCCGAGGCAAAAGCTGCACTGACATCCATCCCATCACCATAGATCACAGAAAATGAGCCTATCCAGAAAATAAACCGTCTTGAAACCGAGCATATCTTCCATCCTCCCCCTCTTGGAGCTACCTGCATCTCCTGGCCTGTCCTTTGAGGTCAACACACAAACTCCTGGGGAGTTAGGTCCTATGGAACAGAGCAGGACAGAGGCCTTGCTCTGAATCAGTTTATGAAGAAGACTTGGTGCTTTCCGGTTGTGCTTAGTAATGCACGGCCAGGGAGGGACATGTGCTTGCCTAAAACAGTTTAGAATCCTGGGTTTTTGAGCAAATGGGTGCCATTCGGCTTAGAGGCCTGCACCAGTCAGACAGACTGTGTTCGCCTGTGGCTGCTGTATTTGTAGGTGGGCGTAGGATGGTGGGAGATTCCAGAACCAGGTCATATGTGGAATGGCTGACAGACCTGGCAATGTTTAGGCTTGGGAGGAAAAAAGAAACTAAGGAGAACCATCATAACCACGTGGAACAAGGGATTAGAATTTTTGGAGTCCGTATTATGGGCCAGGACCAAGATCAGGATAGAAGTGTCAGCAAATGTCAACTCCTGTGGAAGACCTTCGTAAGAACTTTCTAGAATAAGCTGCTTCAGCAGCCTGGGAGCTTTCTGTCACTGGGAGTGTTCCAGCAGAGGCAGGATGATAGTATCAGGGATACTGAGGAAAAGCTTCGTGCGTGAATGAAAGCTTTTCACCAGATTAGCATATTGTAGTTGGTGTAAAAAGGAGGAGAATGGTGAACATCTCTCCAGGGCTTTCCATGTGCCAGACACCCACTGCTATTCACATACAAGTTCATTTAATCCTCACAGCAACCCTATAAGGCAGTTAACTCTTCCTGTCCCCATTTCACCAGTGAGACAAACGAGACACAGATTAAGTAATTTGCCCCCAAGGTCAGCAGCTGTTAAGTGGCACGTGAGCCCAGGAGTTATCCCGTTCCCTGCAGGAGATGCTGACTAAGCACGTCCCAGGTGTGCAAGGCAGTGAGGACTGAGCAGAGCCAGAGCAAACAGCGTCCACTCCCCGCTCCCCCCGCCGCCCCGTCCTGGAATGCCATGTATGGAAACACCTTTTGAAATGTTTTTCTTCAAAAATTCTCATTTCTGCCCAGTTTTCCCTCCTGTGTGACTCCTGTGTACAGAAAGGCTGGGGGGCTTGAATTCGCCTGTGTCCCATAATTGTCCGAGGAACACCCCCCCCCGCCCCCAGCAGGCTTGCTTGTCTCCTTGGTGCCTACGGTGAGGCAGACTGTAGTCGGCTCATACGGGTGCTGCGGGGGCACCAGAGGGGGGAGAGAGAGTTCTCAGTCAGAAGAATAGCACAGGTTTCCAGCAAGAAGCGCATTTGAGTCGGGTCTTGGTGGACGAAGAGGAATTGGCCATTTGGCTGTAAGGGAGAAGCCAGGGGAAAGACCAGCAGGCGGGGTGCCTCGGTGGTGTTCTGGGGGGAAAGCAAGCAGGTTTGATGGGTTTGAAGTGTAGTGCACATGAAGGAAGGAGTAGAAGCTAAGGACAGGGGTTTCCTTTTTTTTTTTTCCCCCCACTGTAAAATGCTCATTTATTAAAGTCTAAGACAATTATATGTTCTATAAGAGTATGCAGCATGTTCTTATTTTAGATGCAGCCATAAAGGGAGCACAGCTCTTAAATGCAAACAGGAATTGTATCTGATAATTAATAGAACCAAAGTCCACAGCAGCAGTAAAAATTAAATTGGCCTTAAATCCCATTTTATAGATTGTTTCTATGTGGGCAGAGGTTTTCAAAGATCCAGAGTATGATCTAGATCCAGCTGCCTTGTGCCACAGGAAGTCCTAAGGCCTTCCCTTCTGGCCAGAGCTTCACGGTTCTGTGGTTCTTTTGACAGATCTCCCCTACTTCTTCTTCTCCTGGCTGAGTTACTCTCATTACTTCTGTCCTCCCTCTCCCTTCTCCCTGCCTTGTCCCGTTCACCACCATCACCACCCTTATCCCCTCCAGACATCTCTTCTGGTCTCTGGAAGAATCAAGCAATAAGTATCTCCCTAAAGCTTTTAGCTCAGGACTACCCTGTGCCTGGTTCCCGGCTTTGCCAGTACCTTCCCCTCCGAAAGTCCTTTACTTCTTGAACCTTCTTTTCCTGACCTTTGATAACGAGCTTTTCTAGAAATTGTAATCTTAGCTCCTGCCCTGCTTGCTAATACATTGTAGAGATGATTCTTCCTTCTTTCTACCCAGTTGACTCTAAACTTACTCTTTTTAAAAATTTATTTATTTTTATTTAATTTCAATTAACATATGTTATTGGTTTCAGAGGTAGCGGTCAGTGATTCATCAGTCTTCTGTAACACCCAGTGCTCATTACATCACGTGCCCTCCTTAATGTCCATCACCCAGTTACCCCATCCCCCACCCCTCTCCCCTCCAGCAACCCTCAGTTTTTTGTTGTTGTTGTTTTTTATAAAGATTTGTTTATTTGACACAGAGAGAGAGCACAAGCAGGGGGAGCGGCAGGCAGAGGGAGAAGCAGCCTCCCGCAGAGCAGGGAGCCCGATGCGGGGCTCGATCCCAGAACCCCGGGATCACGACCCGAGCCGAAGGCAGATGCCCAACCGACTGAGCCATCCAGGATCCCCCAGCAACCCTTAGTTTTAAACTTTCTCTTTAACTTAGCCACAGAGGATGCCTTTTCTTGCTTGAATACTATTCGTCTTGTCTCCTTCTAACATCTGTTCCTATTCTGTGACTCTTGAAGCCATCTCCAATTGTCTTTAATGAATAAAGCCACAAGTTGATTACTGTGATTTTATGACCCGGTATAGTGAGATAAAGCAGTAGGGAAACGACTGGCCTCGGGGAGCCCCATGCTGCTCAAGAGTTCTAGTCACCTGCGGGCGTGGACATCTGTGTGTTTAAAATGACGTCTTCCAGGGCGCCTGGGTGGCTCAGTCGTTAAGCGTCTGCCTTCGGCTCAGGTCATGATCCCAGGGTCCTGGGATCGAGTCC